AGGTGGCTGGTATGAACGGAACTGGTGAGGAAAGGAGATATTAAGAGATTGGGGTAGGGGAGGCCAACCATGCAGGGCTATTTAGATTTTTGTACAGGAGAGTATGACTGGACTTACATTTCAATATTAACATGGAGCTGGATGTGGTGGCACACACCTGTAATCCCAGCACTACAGAGACTGAAGCAGGAGGACTGCCATGAGTTTGAGGCCAGCCTGGGGCTACAAAGTGAGTTCAAGGCCAGCCTGAACTACATAGTGAGACTGCCTCAAAAAAAATCAAAACAAAACAAAATATCATGATGCTCTGTTGAAAGTAGAGCTAAAAGAAAAAACTGTAGAAGCACCAAGGAATTCAGTTAGGAAATCAAAATCAAAATGGTTTTGACTGAAGTAGCAGTAATGAAGAGTAAGCAGCAGGATTCTCAACATATTTTGAAAGGTAAAATCAAAAAGATTTATTGATGACTTTGGATTTAGAGTATAAAATAAAGAGAAAAGATGACAGTAATTCCAGGCTTATGAAATAAGAGTAGACAAATTGAGATGAGGAAGGCCATGGAGAAAAGGGTTTTGAGCTGTGGAACCGAATGAGGAATTCAGTTGTGGATGGGTAAATCTGGTAGGCTTGTTAGACATGAGGACTACAGTCAGCTGTACAAGTTTGGAATTCAGGCCAGAAATCTTAACTACAGATATAAACTTGGAAGTCCTATGTATATAAAGGACAGATAATAAGAATAAGTAGAACTAAGGCAGATAAAGCAATCTGAACCTTGGTTCATGCCAATATTTAGAGATAAGAAGTGAGAAAACACTACAAGAGTGGAAGCCAAGTGACAAGTGTGTGCTGGGAGAAGGTAATGACTGACTATGGCTAACTGATGTTAGATGAGCTCTGCAATGTGATATTCACATCATTTTGAATACTGGTAGCAGAAAATTGCTTCCAGATTTTCCAATTACAAATAATACTAAACAGACACCTTTGTAGTTTTATGGGAACAAAATGTATAGGTCTATAAACTTAACCCTTCCAAGTTTATATCTTAATACTGGTAGCAGAAAATTGCTTCCAGATTTTCCAATTACAAATAATACTAAACAGACACCTTTGTAGTTTTATGGGAACAAAATGTATAGGTCTATAAACTTAACTATGCTGAGATATATTACCAATTTTCCAAAGCATCACACCAATTAATTTCTAGTTAATACAGAGTCACTTCTGTATGTATCACTTACATTGAAAATTAACAAATTTACTAATCCTTGCCACTATATGTTAGAAATGTTACCTAGCTTTTTTATTGTTTCTTTATAGCCTACATTTTATAGTAGTTTATTTAAAATAAACAAAAAAATTTTAAAAGGCCAGCAATATCTTTAAATAGATATTATCAATACATATAAAACAGTGAATGTGCTTAAATTTATTTTTGTAAATGAAGAGAACTAAGTCCACATGCTGTGCTGCATAGCTGTATCTGTAAGACCCTTGGAAAAGGCAAAATTGAAGGCAATTAAAGAATGCACTGAGCCGGGCGTGGTGGCTCACACCTGTAATCCCATCACTTGGGAAGCTGAGGTGGGAGAATTGTTGCAAGTTTGAGACCAGCCTGGGCTACAAAGTGAGCTCAAGGCTAGCCTGAAATGCACAGTGAGACCTTATCTCAAAACACACACACACACACACACACACACACACACACACACACACAAAGAAAGAAAGCACTGGTTTCCCAAGGCTGAAAAAAAGGTTCATCTAAAAAGATGTGGCACAGAATCATTTTAGGGCTAAGTGATTACTATATATGAAATGTGTGAAGATGGACACGTGACTATGGGTTTGTCAAAACATACCGAACTGTATAAAACAAAAAAGTGAATTTAAACTGGGTGTGGCATGAGCATGGGCACAGGCCTATAATCCCAGTGGCAGGGAAGGTCAGATAGAAGGACCAGTTGAGGCCAGCCTGGGCTACACAGTGAGTTAAAAGCTAGTCTGAACTACCTACAAAGACCCTTTTTCAAAACAATACATAAATAAATAAATACCAAAGCAAAGCAAAACAAAACAAAAATAAAAAAACATGGGCATGGTGGTGCACACCTGTAATCCCAGCACTAGGGATCTCAGACTAGGGAGACTGAGGACAGGAGGAACATATGTGAGCTTGAGGCCAGGCTGGACTACACAGCAAGTTCAAGGCCAGCATAGACTATATAGCGAGACTCTGTCTCAAAGAACAAAACAAACAAAAAAAGTGAAAGTGATAACTGCATAAATGACATGGAGATGAAAAGTGCTAACTTAAGCGTACTTCTTAAAATTTTTTTAAACTGTTTATTGGTATGATTTAGTTTACTGATCACATTCAATATAGGGAATTTATACCTGGACATGGTATAATTTGATTTTTTTTTCCCATTCCCCTACCCTCTTTCAACCCCTCTTTCCTTCCCACTGCCCATATTAAACATTTTTTTATGCTGTCATTTGACTCTCTCCTATAAAGTTGTCCTTAGCCCAGTTTTTTTTTACATATCTTTGCCTATTAATTCATTATATTTTGTGCATATTAGTCAACATTTCTATTTTTTTATATTACTAAGCTATGTCTTGGATGGAATTGCTGAGAAAAAGAGAAATGCACTGGTATCAAAAATTTATTAAGGGATCTGGGGACTAGCTCAGCAGCACAAGCCTGGCAAACTCAAGGTCCTGAGTTCAGTTCCCAGTACCCAAAAAAAAAAGGAAAAGGATTTATTAAGGGCTAGGGATATAGCTCAGTGGCACAGTGCCTGCCTGGCAAGCATGATATCCTGAATTTGATTCCCAGGACCAAAAAAACCCAAAACTCAAAAACGACCCAAAAATTTAGTATGCCTTTGGTTTTCATACTATTTCCACATTTCTACTTCACACATGATCACTGTTGCTCCTCTGCTCCATGGTTTACTCATCAAAGGAATGAGGAAACATGTATGAAGATAGTGTAATTTTATCCTTGAGTGGCAAAGAGAATTGTCCAGTATAATCTATTGGGATATCTGCAACTTCCCTGACAACCTGAAGGATATAACTTTTATGGAAATTTTACATTAAGAAATCCTATGCATTTAACTATGTGCCCATCACATAGTGGGCACTCAGCAAATACATGTAGAATAAAAGAAGAGTTCCCCTCAATTGAAAAAGAGGTCCTTTCTAAGGCAACGCAGAATAGAAGGAGAAACAACTCTCTGAGATGCAGGTTTAACAACAAGCTGTGAATAATACATACACAGTGAAACACAGAGTCTCTGAAACAGGAGAGATGAACCTACAGCATGGCTGCTGCATGGGATTACAGGTGATGGGATTACAGGTGTGAGCACTCACACAGAGTGCTCTGTCAGCACTTGAGCCACATTGCGCAGCAGCTGACCACTGCATTAGTTTTTTTTTTCCCCCAAACTAAAACCTCAGTATTTGGGTTTAATTGCAGTGCTGGCACCTTGCAATACATAAGTGGGTTTTGTATTGCAGTTTGGCCAAAGAGTCTCTAAGATATTTGCCATTGTTGATCTAAACAGTACTATAAAGAACCACTGTGTTTGCATAACAATTGTCTTATACTGCAGTTAAGGCCCTCTCACAATGTTGTATTGGTCAATTCTGTCACTCAAGAATAAAATTACACTATCTTCACAAACAAGTTTCGCCATTCCTTTGAAGAATAAACCACTCTGCAGACTTTTTTAAAACTCCCATTGCTTTCCTTATGTAATAAGTAAGAAATATTCTAAATAATGCACATGATTTCCTATTTTTTTTAAAAAATTTCCTTTCTTTAAGACATTATTTCCACTGCCACTTCAAATACAGTGCACAGTGGTGAATGTCTCAGAATAATCCACAGGGCAACTACAGGGAATTTAGATTATAAGCAGAAAAAATGCAGTGATTTGGGGGAATGATATTAGTGGTGACTTTTAATTGTGAATGACACATATTGGGATGTCCTTATTCCATCCCACTATGCAAAAAACATACAGAAACCAAGAAAAGTAAAAAATTTGATTCAAAACATAATTTGGCAAATTAAAATGGAGTTAAAAATGGGAGCCAAGATTGTATAATATTCAAATAGTTGGCACAATAATGGCACATACCCCTAATCCTAGCTACTCAGGAGCTGAGGCAGGATTGTAAATTTGAGGCCAGGCTGGGAGACTTACAGGGCTGGGGATGTAGCTCAGTGGTAGACTACCCCAGGGTTAGATCCCCTGCACCAAACAAAATGGCTGTTTTGCAAAAAAACCGAAGTTGAACGAAGAACATGCAGCCAAATAATCCTGGCAAAAGTTACTGTAGCAACACGTGAAATAGGAAGGTTAGCACGTAGGCAGTATACATATCATACAGCAGGAAATGATTAGTAACCTTACTGTAGAATGCCTACCTACCTGCCAAATTGTGTATGAAACTGAGTATTTGTTTACTTAATTGACGGCTGGGGTTTACAGATAATTTTTAATATCATGGGGCTGGGGATTTAGCTCAGCAGCATAAGCGCCTGCCCTGCAAGCAGGCAGTCGTGAGTTTGATCCCTGGTACCGATTTAAAAAAAAGGAAAAAGACAAAAAAGAAAAAAGTCTTGATCATAATAGAACTTAATCCGTATTTTAAAAATTTTTTGTCAAAGGGTCAGGGATATAGTTGAGTGGCATAAGCATCTGCCTGGCAAGCACAAGGATGTGAGTTTGATTCTCAAAAATAAATGAACAAATAAATTTCTTGGTCAGTCTAATATAGTTTCTTTTCACAGTCTAGGGCTGAGACTTTGACAAAGTATACTCTCTCTTAAGAGCTTACAGTGATGAGCAAAACTGTTATACAGTTTCGTTAGAACAGAAAATGAAAAATGCCATCAACTCTACTAAAATAATCCAGCTTCATCACAGAATTTCAGGACAATGAAAAGCATTTGAATAAATTCAGCTTTAGTACTTACTGATACAAAAGTGAAGCAGAGCCCAGCTCCCCTTTGTGCTAACTGCTCTGTGTCAAGTCGAGGTTTTGCTAACATCACTGACATGAGGGTTGGCAGAGCAGATTGTTCCTCCGATGCCTCCTTTGCAGCACTGCCATCTAAACCATAGAGGGGCTGCTCTACACGCCGCTGGAAAACATCAAAGAAAACATACAGCTTACATGAGAAAGATAATCTGATAGTGCCAAAACATGCAACAGGTTAAAATATAGAGAATATAAGGTGAATGTTAAAAAACTTTTTTTTTCTGAAAACAATTACAGGGAATATTATTACTGGAGTATTATGTTTCTAGAAACCAAAGTTGATAGTTTACTCAGAACATTTTAATGATCCTATATTTGCCTAACTGCATATTCAGATTACTTTGTAGAGTTCAATAAATTAACTTCAAAATATTCTCAATCCTACACAGGAAATTCCATTTCCATGCTGTAGGTAAATGAAGAATTAAGAAAAACTTTGTTACAGGGGCACACACCTGTAATCACAGCAATGTGGGATGTTGAGAAAGGAGGGTCACAAGATCCAGGCCACACAGACAACTTAGGGAACTTGGCAAGATCCTGTCTTGAAAAATAAAAATGAGCTGGGGATATAGCTCAGTGCAATGGCTCTGGGTTCCATTCCCAATACCACCAAAAACCCAAAGCGATAGCTGTCTCATGACTTTATGCACAGAGCTTATTACACTCTCTGTTCTCACTAACCTATACCTTACATGCAAAAAATCTAAAATAAATGCAAGCAGAACAAACATGAAATAGTAAAAGAATAATATACTGCAATTAAATACGGTTTATTCTAGAGTTGGAAAAATGCTTAAACATTGCCAAATTTAGGGGCTGGGGACTTAGTTCAGTGGTGTAAGCGCCTGCCTGGCAAGTGTGAAGTCATGAGTTCGATCCCCAGTACCAAAAAAAAAAAAAGCAAGTTTAATAACAGTATTTTTCAAAGTTAATACAAAATCTAATTAAGTAATGATGTAATACTTGAGTCCTTCTCATTAAAGTTATAGACTAGACAGGGTTAACACATAATTCAACAGAATTTAGCCAATGTGACAAGGTAAAACACGTAAGATATAAACATTAGAGCAAATTAAAGTGTCATTTGGGATGATATAAACATTCACAAAAGAAATCAAGTAAATCAACTGAAAAAGTACTGTAACAAAATTGAGTAAGATGGCCAAATACAAAATAAGTACTCAAAAATCAATAGCTTCCTCATACACTAAAAATATTAATTATAATCTGCTACAGAATTAAAGAAAAAGCAGATTCAATGTAGGGAAAAGATTTGCAAAATACCAAGTAAATCTAAGAAATCTAAAGATTTCATGAGAGGGGCTGGGGATTTAGTTCAGCGGCATAAGCGCCTGCCTTGCAAGCAGGCAGTCATGAGTTCGATCCCTAGTACCGATAAAAACGAAAAAGACGACAAAAAAAAAAAAAAAAAAAAAGAATTCATGAGAAAAAAACTATTGTTTCACAAATGAATATAAAAGATGACTGAAATTAAATGATGATGTCATGTTCCTGGATTAAAATTACATAGATACCACATTTCTCTAATGGCTAATGTTTAGGCTTTTTGTTTATTTTACATTTGGCCTTTCAAAGGAAAACTTTGGTAGCATAGCAGCAGCCATAGTCTCTCTCTTTGGAGAAGTAACTTTGGTCAAACATCACAAACTTATTTTGAGGTTCAGCTGGAAACATGATGAAAATTAGCCAGATAATTTTTGATAAAGACTATCAAGGAGGGTCAGGGACATAGCTCAGTGGCACAGTGCCTACTTGGTAAGTGTGAGGTCCTGAGTTCGATTCCTAATATCCATTCAATTTAAGTAGAAATTAAAACATATTACAAAGGTACATTAACTAAAATAGTATAACGTGAGTATCAGGATGGACATAGTAACCAGTGGCACCAAATAGAGAAGTCAGAAGCAGGATTCATATAATATGGATAAATAATTCATGATTAAAGCACATTAATATTAGCAGGAATTTACTGAATAGAAGACATTTGTAAAGATATTTTTAGAAGGGAAAAATTGATGTCCTACCATATAGAGCTATATAAAAATTTTAAGCAAACACAAATCTTTTCAATCACCTAGTGGTAAAGGACTTTTTATATACCGTATTAAAAATATAAACCATTCAGGAACATCTATGAATAGCACAAAACCCATAAAGCCATAAAGGGAAAATATTGATAAGTTTGCTTATTTTCAAATTTTCTTCTCACTGGTAAAAGTGAACCTAAAGTTGTAAGACAAGATTACAAACAAGCAACAATGTTATTTACAATATAAATGACAGAGGGTTAGCAATAATGCACTCCTATCAGCAATTCCAACAGAGAAACAGGCAAAGGACTGGAACAAGCATTAAAAATGAAACTGAAAAAGTTATTCGACATAAAAAGATGTTTAATATCACTGGTGAAGAAACACGAATTAAAATGGTATTTTTTTTCACTGTTAAAGATTATAAAGGATATAATTCAATGTCAGTTGTATATAACAGAAGTTCAGTCTTTCAAACTGCTAGTCAACTTTTAGCAACTGAGGCAATGACTACAATTTAGGACCTTATCTAAAATAATTCATACAGCACACAAGTATGTGTAAAGTCATTGATTACAGCACTATTTATAGAATACAAATGCTTATTGGATACTGGTTAAATAAATTAATACAACAAAAATAAAGAAAACAATTATATAAACATGCATGTAATATTCATAAAAGCTGGTCTAAAAATACTTGCTCTCTAGACTAGTAATAATTCTTTTGGAGGGGATTTTCTGTTTTACCACCTGTGAATGAACCGCTCTGCTTTTAATGGTGGGGTACAGAAGATTAAACTCAGGGCTGCACACTGAGCTACATTCAAAGTCCTTTTTTATTTTACAACAGCATCCTGGCTAAATCATTAAGTTACCCAGAGTGGGCTTGAATTTGTAATCTTTCCTACCTCAGTTTCCAGAATGCCGAGATTATAGGTATATGCCACTCTAGCCAGCTAAATTTCAAATTTTATACCCTGTATATATTCTTTTATCAAGAAGAATTCTTGTAACATTTTCATTGTAGAAAATAAAAATAAAATAACTAAATCATTAGGACAAACACATTCAGTCTTTGGGTCTATGACTAAACACTTCTTCAAGATCTACTTTCGAACCTAGCAAATGTTAAAGCTTAAATTCAGACTCCAGAATACTTGTGAAACCCATTAACCAAAGTATGCTGCCCAAGGTATGGGTAAATGAATTTCTGAAGCCAAGATACTAAAATTATAATCATTTTGCCATATATATTCACTAAATATCTGCCAAAGGATAAAAAGATTTCAAATCATGCCTAGAAAAATGGTAAACTAGGATGCTTGAACCAACCGTTCTTTGCAAAGCAACTCTAATTATAGGGAAAAGAATTTTTTTGAGACAAGGTCTCGCTATGCAGTTCAGGCATCTTGAACACATGGCAATTCTCCTACCTCACTCTCCCCAAGTGCTCGAGGTGCCTGTGCCACCATGTTGGGCAGAGAAAACTTTTTTAAAGGCCATTAAAAGCACCAAAGACTTGATAAAGTAAGTAGGACATAATCTGAGGGAAATTTAACAACATAAAAACAAACAGGTACAGGCCTGTAATCCTAGCACTCTAGGAAGTCAAGGAAGAAGGATCCCAAATTTGAGTCCATGCTAGGCAATTCAGTGACTACGCAGAATATCCTGTCTCCAAATCTAAAAAGTAGGGCTGGAAACGTAGCTCAGTGCTAAAGCCCTGAGTTAATCTCCAGTACAGAGGAGAGGGAAAAAAGATAAGTAAGTAAGAAACACCAAAATCATTATCTTGCCCTAAGAGCATCTGCAGATAGTGAATTTTCATTTCCAAGGGAACACAGTATCAAGCGGTCACAGGTCAAAGCACAATCAGGTACTGGTTTCAACAGGTTAGAAAACAAGTCCCAGTTCCAGCAGAGCCTCCTATGTAGCTGGCCTACACTCTCAGGGAAAAGTATAAACCGTAAGAAAAATATTCCCCACCTTAGGGCCTATAAGGACTTTGCCTTGGTATTCCCTGTAAAATGTTAAGACAACCCAAATCAGTATCTGTAGATGGCTAGAACAAACACAATAAACTGAGAGGCAGAGAGAGGGAGGGAGGGAGGAAGAGAGAAAAAAGTGAATGAATCACAAGTTCAGTGAATATCAGAAGTAAAATCTCTAGGCACTAAAAGAAAGCAAATAAATAGTGTCCCTAAAAGAACATTTGCATCCTAGATCTTGAAGAAAGCTGATAAATAAATTTTCAAGGACTTTGAGACGAAATTATGAAACAAACCACAAAAATAGTCATGGGCAATGATCAAGAAACAGTAGAAACAAATTCATAAAAACTTCGGATACCAGAATTATCAAATACAGATTTTAAAATGTGTACATATTTAAGAAAAATAAAAGAAGGCTGGCAGTATAGTAAAGCTCAGTGGTAGAGTACCTGGATACAGGACAAGATCATCCAGCACTACAAAAAAAGCAGCAAAACAGCAACAAAAAAGTACTAATAAAAAGCTTCAAACTATCTTGCAGGGAACATTTTTTACAAGACTGTAAGAAAAGTTAAGAGTTAAATGGGGTTAACAATAAATAAGAACAAAATAAGATACTTTGGAAACTGAAAGGCAAGAAGAAATCATCCATAAGAGATAAAGAAACAAAAAGAGCCCAGTGTGCCACCAATCCCCCCAAAGCCCAAAATACTAGAACTGAGGAGGCTGAGGCAGGAGGATTGTCAAGTCAGAGAGAGAGAGACAGAGAGAGAGACAGACAGAGAGAGAGACAGACAGACAGACAGACAGACAGGGAAGGGGGAAAGGGGATAAAAGGGAAAAGGAGGAAAAAGGGGAAAGGAGAGGAGGGGGTGGGAGGAAGAAATGGGGAGGGGAGGAGAAAGGGGAATGGGAATGGAAGGAAGGGAAGAGGTGGGGAAAGGACAGGAGGGAAAAAGGAGAGGGAGACGGGAGGGTAGAGGGCAGCTGGGCAGGGCAGGGCAGGGCAGGGCAGAAATGGGGTTATATTTAAAGAGTTAATGGTCAAGTTACTCA